ATTTGCGATAAGAGGGAAATTTAGCCCCGAAAAGGGCTGTTAAAATGATCATGGAAGGAGCTCCATTTTCGGCTTGTTGCCTTCGCTGTTGGTTTTATTCTGAGCTTTTTGTTAATGCTTTCTGGTAAATTTATTTATCTAGAAGCAATAGCTGAGTGGTTAGCACTGCATACTGTCCTTATAGTTCTACCGAGTGTATTACTGATATTGTATGATATAAAAAATATATCGGCCGTTCGGAGGCAGCTTAGAATAAACTGTAGGCCCCTCCATTTGTTGGAAAAACATTTATACGCACACCACAAATTGAGGGAGGAGCTTGGCGGGGCCTTTGCGATATTTTAATAATGAATTTTAAGGTCGTCTTCTTCAATAATCATGTAACTTTTCTATTGGTAAGCATAATGAATACATTCTTCCCAAAAGTATTCCTTAAAGTAGAAAATAACCGCTGATTATTGAATAAAATAACTAGCAAAATGTAAGGATGGAGATATAAGGTTGCGATCTATAACAGTAAGAGGATCACAAGAAAATTTACGCACACATACAGCCTTGGTCAAAAGTATTAGTAACCCCACTAATTACTGAGTTTTTTGTTTTAACAAGTGAAGTAATGAAATTTTATTAGAAAAGCAGTGAAAATACAATGAATTAGTGATAATAACATTAATATTTAGTAGGTTCACCCTTCACTTTAATAACGGCAGCAATTCTCTTAGGCATGTTGTGTATAAGCTTTGCACATTCGTCCGCACTTACAGCGTACCACTCGTTAATTAAGGTATTCTGTAAGGCTGTTTTTGATGTTATAATGTGATCCTTAATCTTGCGTTTTACAATAGCCTACACGTGCTCAATGTGATTAAGATCTGGAGACTGTGAAGGTCAATCTATCTCTAAACCAACGCATCTCAGTCGGCATGGCTTCTTTCGGGCTTTACATTCTCTTAAACCTGCTTCCAGAAGTCTTCTTCTAGCAGTTTGAGCACGTTTACTAAATCCATCCAAAAGAGCAGCTGCAAGGGTAGATTTTTTGCGATCCTTGAGAAACTCGAGTAAAAGTATTCGCCCTTCTCGTTTACTGGTTAAACGCTTTCTTCGACTTTTTAATTTATTATTGTGGGATTTCGTCTCCACAAATCGCCTGACTGCTCATTGGAACGTGCACCACGAACATCCCACCGAACCTAGGACTTATCTTCTTCACTTAGAACTTAAATTTTAACTCTATCATCGTAACTAATTTTACTTTTCTAGGCATTTCGGTAAATATGACCTGTTTTTGTAAGATGGGTATTTATTCACTAAATGTAATTTACACTTTCACTTTCAAATTTCAAATGCGAAAATATTTTATGAATTTCTTAAAAATGAAAATTTTTAGGTTTAGCTTACCCAGAGTGCTATGACTTTTAATATTACACAATTGGCCGGCATACACGGAAAAAGAATTTCAAACTTATTTTTCTATTTCAATCATCCTTCCTGAATACGTAAGCGACAAATTGTTGCAAAGCAAGTTCAATCCTTATACTTTTGGAGGACTTTTAGAAAAATCAAAAATGATATCTTTACCGATGAATAAATATAAAGCATATATAATTTCATCACTGTTGAACTACAACAAATTTTGAAAACAATTAATAACTTAAAAATGTTACATTATTTGCCAATTCTATTAAAATACTTAGAAACATACTTGTTTAAGCGCGCAACATTAAGAACAATTGTAAACGCCACGCGCGATAACTTCCGGTTTCCCGTTCTTCCGTGTCTCCTTTCACGCGGCTATCCTTCTTTCCGTGCCTATCTTACTTCGTTAGCCGAACCAGCAGAGAATGTAAATACAACGAGAAGGTTCAATTGCGGACCAGCGTGTAAACTGTCAAAAGCTGCCAAGTTACGATGGATACATTTCACCACAGGCCGCCAGAAACTAACAGAGTTTGCTATTGATGCATAACATTACTGAGCGTGGCAAAATTAAATATGCTCAGAAATGTACTGATCTGTCTGCAACTAACATTGTTTATGTAATTTTACATCTTTTTCAAAATTCTTTATATCTAATAATAAATGTACATACAAATGTATGTCCTTATAAAGGAACGATTTGCCGGCGGCATTTCGCAATAGCGTTTTTTATAAGGAGGATTATTTATTCGTGAATTGTAATTTTAACGTATTAATGAGATGTTTGATTAATAATTTTATTAACTTAAAAATCAAAAATACATTAATTTGTGCATATGTACGTATGTGTACACCATACAAAATACTGACCAGCCTCAAAAAATATATGCATGCATACATATGCACATGTGAAAACATACTTCCCTCTAAATGCTTCTCTCGCCCAAAAGCTGAAATCAAATACAACAATAACATTTTCATTCATAGACGCCTGCGCCCTACAACAAAGCATATTGCGTCCATTCATAAACACCACCGCGCCATACCAACAAGTTGTTTCTTCGCGACAGTGTCAAAAAACACAAACACACAAAATCATTATGGTCGCGAAAAGTGAAGCAACACCAACAACATACAAAGCATGCCTTTTTCCTTCAACCCGTAACATTCATGTATCGTCAACAAGCATTTCTTCAAATTTTTGCCACTGACAAAAATTCAATCATCTTCTGCAGAAATGAAGCAAATAGGCATCGTGCTACTAAATTTGCTGTTCGCCTGTTAGCTCATATTGCCCAGCAAGCAATTTCCTTGCCTTGTGCACTATCTGCTGGGTGGGTAGTTCAAAAAAAAAGTTTCTTGCTTTATTGCATTTTTTAGGCTTTGAAAAGGTTTTTTTTCCCAAAATCCCTCAATGCCAATTGGACACAATCCCAAAAAATCTCTAGAGCAAGAAACGAAACCTGCCAAGATGTCAGATACAAAGCGAAAACTACTTCGCTAGATTCCGCTAGTGCAACCAGAAAAAATAAACTGTATAAATGAACGATTTCAAAATTAACCGTTAAAATAAACAGCTGTTGTGCAATATGCTAGCTAATTTTTACGTAATCCTGTTCGTTGAAAACTCAGTGAATTTCTTTCTTTCAGAAAGTAAAACATCTAGCTCTCTGAATTTCGTTACATGCTGATTTTTACTGAGATTACTCAACGAGCACATCTATTTATTAAATACTCGCACTTACATTTTTTTTTAATAATACTTCCAACCGACTTCTATGAGAAAAAAACTCTCGCGGAATATTGATACTTTTTCCACTGGGAATTTCCCCCAGTTTGGAAGTTTGTTTAGAATACGAGGAAAAAGGAAAACACAAAATCCGCAAAACTCCATAACAGGAAAAATACTATTTTTAAGGATGCATTAAATAGGCGCAATATTTAAACGAGTATGTTGGAATCGTGCCCATAGTTAAAAGAACTCTTTAAAGCTTGCTACTAGTATAAAAAGTTTGTAGCTGCAAATCATCCTGATGGGCAAAATTGCTTCTAAGTGAGCCAAATAAGTAATTACATATGAAAAATTTTACACACATATTGGAGATATGATGAAATGATGACGGACGGAAACAAAGAGGCTCTGGTTTTAGAGTTAACAAAATTGTAAATTTTTTGTCAAGTTTAAATTACTTATGAGGCAAATATTAGAGTATTTCATGTAGTCTATGTTTAACGTATGTACAGCCTTGGCCAAAAGTATTAGTCACCCTATTAAGTCCTGAATTTCTGGTTTTAACAAGTGAAGTAATGAAATTTTATTAGTAAAACAGTGAAAATACAATGAATTAGTAATAATAACATTAATATCTAGTAGGCCCACCCTTCGATTTAATAACGGCAGATGCGTACAAGCCTTGCATATTCGTCCGCACTTATAGCCTACCACTCGTTAATTTAAGTATTCTTTGACGTTGTTTTTGATGTTATCCTGCAAAACAATGTTGTTATCTCTAAACCTACGCATCGTAGTCGCTGATTTGTGACAAGGAGCATTGTCTTGTTGAAATTGAACCCTGTATAAACTAGTATCGCCGAAAATGCGCTTTAACGAAGGCAGAAGAACAGCTTCTAACACATTTGTGTACTTTTGACTGTCCATGCGACCCTCGCAAACGGAAATTTCGCCGACACCATAAGCAGCCATGTAGCCCCAGACAACAGTGGGCACCATGCAATTTGGATGTGATTTTATCCCACCCCTTCGCCTCACGAACGTCACACCAGGTGTTCTAACTATCTGTAGAAAATAAAAAATAATGTTTCATAAGATTTGTATTATGTCTTCGAAATTACTCTAGGGTAAGAAGCAATGGCTGTTAATACTTTAAGACGAACTTAACTAAGCTTACCTCAAAGTTTGATTCATCAGACCACAGAACATTCGACCAGTCTTCTTCGGTGAAATATTGGTATCGGCGAGCCCGTGCCAAACGATTTTTCCTATTCTTTTCTGAGAGCCACGGCTTCTTTCAGGCTTTATATTCTCTTAAACCTGTTTCCAGAAGTCTTCTTATAGCAGTTTGAGAACTAACTGGTTTACTAAATTTACCCGAAAGGGCAGAAGAAGATTTTTTGCGATCCTTAAGAGACACGCGTATAAATATTCGCTCTTCTCATCGTAACATATTTCACTTTTTTAGGCGTATTGGTAAATATGACCTGTTTTTGTAAGATTGGTATTTATTCACTAAATGTAATTTACACTTTCACTTTCATGTTTTAAATGCCAAAATATTTTATGAATTTCTTAAAAATGAAAATTTTTAGGTTTAGCTTACCCAAAGTGCTATGAGTCTTAATATTACACAATTGATTCGTTACAAAAAGAAATGGTAACTTTGATAGCCACATTTGATAATACTTGTATTTTAGTGGAGTGCCTAATACTTTTGGCCACATCTGTAATTTCCCAATAATTAAAACAAATTTTCATCTAAAATTACATATGAAGATATTTTTTATTCCAATTTGGTGGACTATGGTTCGGGTAGGGTAGGAAAACTTTAATTAAAAGTTCAATTAACTAATAAATGTCTCAAATAAATATATTTCAATTTTTACAATTTTTTCTTTTTCTTACAAAGCACGTAAAATAAGATGTATATTTCCATAAAAAGACTACGTGTAATTAAATTAAACTCATTTATTCATTATTCGATCAGCTTTTTAGCTTTAAAATATCTACGTAGATATAAAACTTGCCATGTAGCTAGACCAAGCAAGCAACACATGCTAAATATGCTGAAAAATAAAACCCGGCTATTCGTTTTTTCTGCAAATATATAGAAATTTAAATCATGTATATGATGTAATCAATATGTAATAAGAGACCTTAAATAGTCTATATAACCAGCGTCAAAATGTATATAACAAAAAATTAAAAAAGTCAGATTCAAAAAATACCTAGTACTATAAAATTATGTATATTTTTTTTCGTATTATTTAACAGCCAAGGAGTAGGAACTTTTGCTGCATGGAGAAGTCAAATGTCAAATAAATATTATTTTATTTTTCACTGTATATATATATATATATATCTGCGAATGTAGCTTTTTGTAGAAGTTCGGTTCGATATGTGTGCAATCCGAGTTTGCGTTATTAAACTTAACATAGAATTCATAATTTGTTTTTGCAGCCATGCCATATAGGAATTTTTTGATATAAGTATTAAGTAAACTACGAGGCCTGGTGGTTTGTATGAATTGAATATTTGTTATGCAACAAAAAAAATGGTAGAAGTGGCAGCTGTTTCGGAGATCACCACGTCTCCTTATCAGACTTCTTATGACAGGGATCGAACCAACGGATCTTGGCTTAACAGGCGCGTGTTCTTCCTCTGCGCCAACATCAGCCATATAATCTATTGTTGTATTATTCAATTCATTATTATTTGAATTGTTTGAATATAATTTTGGCTTTTTATTTATATTTGTCTTTCGTTAGTAAGCCGTTTACTTCACTACAAGTTTTTTAAGCTGGTTTTTTGACATATGTTGATCTTGACTTGTATTCCATGACAACTTTTTTTGAGTGAATTAGCTTTTAGATTCATCGGTATCTGTTCGCTCAATGTTGCAACGAACGGAAAGAACGTTAAATCAGTGTCGGCTGTGCCAATATAATTTTTTTCGATTATGGCTTGATTGGGAAATAACCCCTGGTGCGGTAAAGTGGGAGTTATTAAAGCTGAAGTTGTTGTCAGTGCAATGGTGGTTATGGGCGATAGCTATAATTATATGCCAAAAGGTAATAGTACGAAAAATATCAGTCGTTTTTTAACTATTTTATTAAGTATGCGACGTGGTCATATTTTTGGCCTTATTGGATCTCTCCTTGCCTTCATGTAACCTTTCCTTTGACCCTACCCTATGGAACGTGGTTGTGGTTTATAATATTTTTCGATTTTTAATTAAAAAGTAAAAGATTTATTCCATACGAAGAAAACTATTGTACTTAGATTTGCTTCCAGCTCGCCCCCCTTCTTGGTTGTGCTATATAGGGGGTTAAGGACGTTTGAAATCTTAGAGGAATTCTTCACAACAGCCCGCTCAGAAGGCCTAGCATAGAGGTTGTGAAGACTCCAAGTCAAGCCCTTGGAGCCACCACAGCAACAACAACAAAAGAGAAGTTATATATATATAATTACAAACATATATATACATATTACAGGAAACACCTATATACAGAGAAATAACCAAATATATATATTATATATACATATATACATATGCATACGTACAAATAAGTATTAAACATTTAAGCTAGGCACTGACATAACGTCGCCATTAAGTAGGGCAAAGAAGAACAGGCGTTAGGCCTCCCAACAAACACAGTGCATAACTATCCGCCTGTAAGCAAAGTTTAGTATAAAATGAGAATCATCAGTGTCTTTCACTCACTGCTGTTTGTGCTGGCGAAGATAGAGTATATGGTGTGTCGTGCTATTGCAACCAACAGGAGTAGATATAAATATACGGCTGACGTGAAAACGCTGCCAGTAGAATATTTAAATAATAAAGTTAATTGTGTAAACGTAAAACTATGTGTGTTGTCCTTTACATTGCGCTTTTGAGAATCGAAATTATAGGAAAGAGCCATAATTCGATTGAGAGATAGCCCAGCTATAGACCGGAGAACCGGGTACGTCCCAAGGTGGATAATACTTTCCATACCATGGCAGTATGGTGTTCGTGCGGTAGACATGGTAGCAAGTGTTAACATCATTAACCGAATTGGTCAAAGCTGATAAGCGTAAGTGATCAAGAGCACGTCTTTCCACGTTAAGGTTAAGGTTAAGTGTTACGCCGACCATCAAGAGACAATTACTTGAAACACGAAATTTACGTGGTCATTGTAATAGAAAATATATTGAAAAATTGGGTATACAGAGAGAACAGAATGGGATACCATTATAAATATAGTAAAATATAAACAAATATCGACATACTTTTATATAAGCACCACACAAAGAGTATAACATACACCTGGTTTGCTAATTAAATGACAAGTGTGGGGAGCTTTCGGTAGAATGTGACCCCTTGAACATTCCTTTAAAGTATCACTGAGTTAGGGAGGGAGGGATAACGGAGGGTAGTGAGCTAAACTTTACTGCTTTCATAGATAGAGCTTGGCGATAAAATCAATTCTGACTCACTTGGAAGTACAATGTTCAAATATACACAATTTTAATGCTGGCTATTTGTACTACTAACAGGCCTATTCTGTCGAGGTAACAAAATTTACCTAGGTATTAAAATATACAAGGCAGTAAATTTTGTTACCATTTCGTATTCTGAGCTCACTGTTACGCTGTAATTTTGTTACCAGCGAAATAGGAGGTAAACAAAATATCTGCTGTTTGATTTTGTGTTGTTACCAAAATGGGTAGGTATATTTTAATTCATTGAAGATGAGGAAAAAAAGTGCAAAAAGGCGTATTTTAAGAAGTTTTCGAGATAAAAAAAATAGCCCTTTAATTTGTAAGATAACGTTTTCATTCAGCTTTTTTTGTTGACATATTTTCCATTATTAGGTTTAAATATTTATGATTTAATAAACAAATTTCTGTGCACCGTCTTCCATTTCGACGTGAATATTTTTCTTTTTACTTTATCAACTGGCAAATGTAATTTGACATGGAAGAAAAGAGCAGTGCTGCCAAATTTTTTTCAAACATTGTAACCAGTTCGCCAGAATACCAAATTCAATTTCGGGTGTTAAAGAAAAGTAACAAAATTGACTTTACCGGTAACAGTGAGAATAGGCTTGTAAACATATTTACCATTTGTATCTCTCATTTCTTCTTCTCTTTTTCGCATCAGAGCAAAGTCTCTGACAATAGAGTCGGATAAATCTTCCAAGCGCTTAAGTTCTACCTCCATCGGCTTGAGTTTAGCAGCTTCTTGAATCTGAGGAATATAAAAACAAATTAATATGAAATTTATATGTATATTGGATCTATGACTAAAAGCGAGTATTTAAAACGAAATAAACTTTATTTACATGAACACACAATTTGTATTTTTTACTAAAAAAAAAAAATACGCACTAAAATAAAAAAAATAAATTTACACTTAACCCTAAAACGGCTACGTACTTCTAAAAAAAATTAATATTTGTGAAACTACCATCAAAATAGATAAATCGATGCTAGGGTCCGAATTACCAGTCCTTCCAGTTTCAAAAATGTGATTTTGAGAAAATCGCGCTGAGGGGTACGCATGCGCCTCTGTATATCGAAAAACGCCAGTCAACAAACACAAGAAAAGCTCGACGTCGAAAAGCTACAATCACAACAGACTGCCAAATGATTTTTTTTCGAGCTCTGAGAGCACGAGCTGACAGCTTACCGGCGGAACTACTTAAACATTGCGGTGAAGAGCTAAAGGTGCATGCATCAGCTAGTTTGCAGAATATGGTCGGACGAAAGCATGTTCGACGATTGGAATTTAAGTGAGCTGTGCCCAATCCACATAAAAGGGAACCCCACAGTCTGCGCCAATTATTGTGGAACAAGCTTCTTCAATACCGTCTATACGATCCTGTCGAGCGTGTGAAAGACTAATGGCTGATGTGACAAGGTAATTCGACCTTATCAGTGGCTCCAAACCTGGCACCATTGACCAGATATTCACCATGCGCCATGCGTCCATTTGAAAGCCGCATTCTACAAGCTGCCTTTACACACTGCTGTGTAAACTGACATTAAGCGTTCGATACCAAACGAGGTTTCGGACAAGGTGATTCTTTATCGTGCGACTTTTTTAATTTATTGCTGGAGAAAATAATACGAACTGCACAGCTGAATAGAGAAGGTACAATCTTCTATAAAAGTATACAGGCTGGCGTATGCCGATGATATTGACATTATTGGCCTCAACAACCGCGCCGTGTATTCTGAATTCTCCAGACTGGATAAGGGCGCTACTCTGGGCTGGGTAGGAAATTTAAAAGTAAAGACCTCTCTCGACGAATGAAAACCAACTCTTCAAGTCCACACAACAACAACAACAAAGAAATAGGAAAGCCTCCACTCCGTTGGAAAGATCAGGTAGAGAAGGACCTGGCAGTACTTGATATTTCCAATTGGCGTCGGCTATAATCGCGTAGCAGTGTCTACGCCAGTAAAGTAAGTAAGTAATTAAGTTCATTATACATTTATATTATTTATTTTGCCGATTGGTTAGCATTGCGTACTGCCATTCGGAAAGCCAGGATTCGAGGCCTGCTTCGACCAACACCCAAAAGTTATCAAAATTAATCTAAATATCAAATTATGTTAGTTTTTCTAGTCAAGTAGTTAATTTTTTGGTAAAAAATCAAAACGGACGTCACAAATCTTTTAAAGTATTAAAGTATTATGTATTTTTCTTTACCCCTTCTAAATGATCCGTTTTAAATTTTTCAAATTTAAACGTTGAATTACTGCTGCTATAAGTTTTGTTTTTCGCAATTTATCAACGATATATTGTCCTTTTCATTTTCATAAGTCTTAAATATTTCCACATTAGTTTACTATCTAAACTTTCACTGGTTTTATTTTTCATATATTTCACTTTCAGTTCACTTTTTAATTCTATTCTGTCCTGACCATTCGCCGCCGCATCTTTATAACGTGATTTTGGTTGAAACAAGTAACAATTATATCTTTTTTTTTTAAATTCAATTTTTAGTTTCTGCACACATGTAAGATAATATAACCAGCTTAGCAAACACGTGCTAATAAAGGGTGAATTTTTAAGAGCTGTAGAAAAATTAAAAAAAAACACATAATATTCAAAAAAAATGAATGAAATCTTTATTTGAACCGATAATACGGTCCATATAATTTAATGATTGAAGATTATTACATGCAAATGTGACTGCGGCTCAAATGGTCCATCCGCTTATTCCAATTTTGGTACTCTTTCCGACATTTCGGCCGATATCTCACGCATAAATGTCTCAATGTTGCCCCCAATGCATCAATTGAATCGGGATTGTCTGTATAGACATTAGATTAAACATAGCACCACAAAAAATAGTCGAACGTGTTAAATCGCACGATGTAGGCAGCCAAATGTTCGCCGAACTCGCTTCTCAACATGTCATGCAAGTCAATCTCTTGCATTTTCGCTCACCATTCACAGTTACGTTACGATTCGCATCATCTTTGAAGAAGTATGATCCAATAATGCCACCAGCCCATAAACCGCACCAAACTGCGACTTTTCTGAATGCATTGGTAGCTCTTGCAATGCTTATGGCTGATCTTCACTTCAAAATCGACGATTCGGTTTTACGCAAACACAAAGCCAAAAAATGAGCTTTGAAGCGCGCGCGGAAGAAGCACGCATTTTGACAATAAACTTCAATAATTTGCAAGCGTTGTTCTTTTGTAAGACGATATTTAGATATCACATTACATTATTGTTTCATTGTCTAATATTTTATGATCATCAAGTTTTTACATGTCTTACATTTTTATATTAGATAATTTTTTATTTCCGACTTTTCTTCATTTATACTAGTTTTCTCTAATCTTTTTTTGGATGTTAGTTCGACACCAGGATTTGAACCCGAGCCTTCCAAATGACAGTACGTAATGCAATCTCCTTTCGTCATTTGTTAATAATGTGCTGCTTTTTTATTTCTGCTTTTGTTCACGCATATGAATTTCGTTACTGTCCCAATTAAGATCATTTGCCTTAAAGCTTCGTTAACATTTGAAATATGCATCATGCAATCATCGCACATAAATCTAAGGATTCGTCAATCCACCGATCTTAGAACACAATAGTTTTCAATTGCTGCGCAAGCCTTAGTTTTGTGGTAAACTCTCCCACAAGCCCTTGTGCAATGCGCGAATGGTTCATCTCCCACTACTTCATGGCATTTAAGATATTCATCCATCCCTCTTCACTTCCTTACCGTTTTTTTTTCAGTTTATTTATTTGCCATTTGTATATTTAGCGACAAATTTATTACTTTATTGTTATTATTATTTTAATTTTTAGTTTTGATTATTTATGCAATAACTAATTAATTTAGTAAATTAAAACTATTTAATATCGAAGTATATTTCAACGCGTCCCTACTCACGTAATATAAAAAAATGTAAAAGAATTATCACTGGATGCAACTAAAAATGAATATTGCAACGATGATGACAATGATTTAAAAAACATGTCCATTCATGCAAACTGAATAAGAGTTCTTTTTTTTAGATATTTACTATGTTTTAATTTTAGTTCATAAGTTTGTATAAAAACGTCGTTGAAATTCATTAAAATGAAAACAATAAAAGTTTAAGCCCGCAGGCCTATAAATTAGGAGGAAGTCTCAGCACTATGTTAATGACACTTAATTTCTGTTAATAAATTGTTGTAAACTAGAAATTTGAGAGGTTAAAGCAAATGGAGATTGGTGGAGTACGTCCTTTCTCGTGCACCTGGGATTGATTTTACTTCCAGAAAATGTCTTCAATGGTGGTTCTTTCAATAATATCTGTTGTAACCGCTCATCGTTTTATCAACTGTGATATTCGCTGTTCACAAAGCGCAAAGGACTATAAAACGTTCTCAAATCTTTTCTAAACTTTTATTGTTTAGATTCAGAGAGCGCTTCTTATTATGCTGTCAAAATCAGATTTAAAATCGATGGAAAGGTGATGTGAGCCGTTTTTTTTTTGCGAATCTTTTCCGAGACTAGATGTATGGTGATAATGTGGTCAACGGTGGATTAAACAGGCCTAAAACAATAACGATTAAGGGTTTTAGTTTTACACACACTCCGCTCGATAGGATATAAGCGATGTTGGGGAAGCACAGCACAGACAATGGGGTCCAATTTTTATTTTTTTATTGATTGGGTGGATTACATTAAGGTTGCAGTCATGGTCGGGCAGTGGAAAGTCTTTTCCATCATCATCATCGATTGAGGTTCCGGCTTCACCATCTCCGATTGTTACGCTCTCATTGCCATTCAGCATTTTTTGCTTTAGAAAATTGTACATAATCTAGTGTGTAACAATATTGGATAATAATAATATTTCACGTAGAGAGCTTTTTTAATTTATTTATTTTCTATCAATGCTGATCAACTGTGTTCTGTTTGTAGGTCAAGAATGAAGGGAATGTCTTACATAATATAAACACACCAGACAGTACGTTTTTTGTTTGGTATTCAATTACTTGAGGAGTTCCCAATAGGAAAACTTTGCTTATTTACCTATCCCCCGCGGAGAAATGTGCCCAATCGACGTATGTACGGCATAGTGAATGGTCAGCGGGCAGTTGTTATGTGAGCTAAACTTTATATGAATGTAAGTGTAATCCAAGTGCATGAAACATAGCTATGTTGAATCACAATTTTTGTAGTAGATTTTAACAATATTAACATATAACCCCACTGCATAAACGTTTGTTTCATGATTAATGGGGAATGATAAATATTGATATGATGAAGAAAAATTTTATTTTGAAAAAAACGTTTCTTATTATAAAAGATCTTGTTTTACTTACGCCTTCGTAGGTTCTGGTTTCTACGCCCTTTTTAGTGATAAGGCTGACTTCCTGTTCTATGCCTCTTTGATCTGCAAAATAAAGCACAATGTTCTGATAGTATAAAAAGCAAGAAAACCGGCGGCGATAAATAAATATAAGTGGTAAACAAATGACTATTCTACTTATGTAGGTGAAACATGGTAAAACTACAAAAATGGCATGGGCCATGTTGTCATATACGGAGTGATTGGCTGATGTTGCAAAACTACAAACTCCATAGAGTTAGAAGATCGCCACTCTTAAAATTAGGCACTAAGAGTAACAGAATTATGCAAACTCAAATGGCGGCTAAAGAAAAGGAATATAAAATAAGAAATTCAAATCCTTTTTTAAAGTAAAATATAAAAAATGATAATAATAATATATCAAACCCATAAGAAACCGCTGAAACCGCTTCGATCACTCTTAAAAATAGTGTGTTGATCTTACTTTGGGTACGATTTACAGTCCGCCATGTTTCGTTTAAAAAAAATTTAGCGAATTTTTCGTGGCCATGGAAGATAGACTTTTAGCTGGTAGTAACTATAACGCCAAGCATCAATATTGGGGTTCATTACTAATTAATCCACATGGTCGGCAATTAAATCATAATATCATTAGCTACTCTTTTATCTCCCCAGGACAACCAACTTACTGACCTACAGACCCAAAGAAATTACCTTTGCAGTCATTAAAAACGATAGATAGGAGAACAACCACTACTGCTACAAATAATGAACCTTTGTCATTTAACCATACTGCTCCAAGACATACTGTTATGTGCATAGCATGCACATATCTGAACTAAAATATTATTACCCCCTAAAATCAAAAAAAAAAAAAAATTTATGGACGATCATATCCATTGCAGAAACCTACAAGTAAAAAAACTCATATTTTTCACACATTCAAGCTCACTTTTTCACGCACACATATTAAGTTAAATGCTGTGAGAAGAAAAGATCTTGCAATAAGAATAGAATGGAATGTAAAATCGAATTTGCGGATAAGCACCAACCGCATGCACAAGCCGCGGGTTTCTCAGAAAGATTTTTTGCTACGTTTCTCTGCATTTCGAACAAAACCGTTAGTATTTAGTTGGGTATCTTGCGTGCTAAGTGTTTCTTAGGTAAAAGTTTTGAATATTATTTCTGAGCTCACTCGAAAGTGTCTAAGATTAAAAAAACGAAAGGTTGATATTCAACTTTATGGATCATAATGTAATATAAACAAAAGCTATATTATTAACGAGGGTTAATATTCAATAATTGTAAAATGTAAGTTATACACATAAGGGGATATCGTTAAAGAAATTTATTTCTCGCTTAAAGCCCTACGCTGATGTTACCTAAATTTTCCGGAACAACGAAAACGAGAAAAATTAAATTGTGATAGGAAAAATTTGTTACTTACGTACACCCAAGAATCCATATGTAAATAGTAATTTCAAATTTTTATTTTGCTTCCAAACCAAAAATTCCATCCAGAAGGAGTGCCGCTTTTAAAATCTCAAATTGTTCTATTTAAAAAAACTACGAGTCGAAAACTTTATTACTATTCGTACCGGTTATAATTCTTACATCATTGGGTGGAAAAGTGGAGTGTTTCGATCAGGTGATCTCAGCGGTTTTTCGACCAGATGATAGTTTTTCTAAAAGACCCGCAAGCATTGCTCTCGATTTTCTTGCAAAGTGCCATATAAAAGCTAGGATATCGTTGCCGTCATCATATAGACCACTCAGCCTGTTTCCTTGCCTAACCTAACGTTTCGAAAAAGTACTGCTCTCGAAAATTTTCAAATGGTATAATTGTTACACATCGATTTGTTTTTCGCGAAGAACATGGAACAAGTATACCGCGTAACAAGTGAAATAAAGAACGCTTTCGAAAATTTGAAAAAGTGTGGAATGATAGTCAAATACATAAATAAAAAAAAATTTACCACCTAACACATTCCACAATATTCTTAAATCCTATTTATCCAACAGGCGATTCATTTAATACATAGCAGAGGAGTATTCAAGGGCAGGTGTTTCGCAGGGTAGGGTTCTTGGACCAATATTGTTCACCGCAGATATTCCTTAAAGTAACAACATAATTACGGATTTGCGGATGAAATACACTCGAAGGAGTGTACTTTTTAGACTTGAAAATAAAAATATTTTTTTAAATCGTTCGATAATATTGAAAGCATGTATAATATACTGAAATCGACCTTTGTTTTTAGCCCAAAAGCTCAAATGGCTTTAGAGGTAATCTAAATTGAAGACGATTGATTTTAATGTACATATTATATTTGTAATAAGTTATAACGTATATATGTAAGTGACTCAATTCTTTGAAAGATTTCCACTTGTATATTCCGCGGAAGTCATATTTTTGAGATCTATTAGATTTTCTCATTTCGTATGCTACCACAACGAAATCAAAAGCATCATAAAAAATAGTTAGCCTTATAACTAAATGTTAATAGCAAACACAAAATGCCAAGCTGCACACTTCACCCGATTTATGCTCAAGGTTCATTCTAAGAAGCATCGATTTGATTTTTTTTTTTATTTATTTTACTGACGTTTGACAAATATAGATAGCGCAATTTATTTCTCATCGGGTACATTTGGGTGCAAAAAATATTTCAAATAGCTGAACTCTTTATTTTGCTACAACCCCTGAGTGTGCGCTGAGCGCAATGAATACTTTAAAAGCGTTTTCCTCAAAATCGCAATTTTTCAAACTGGAGGACAGAATAGGACCCATTGGAGGAGGGTAGCTTCACAAATGTTTTTTTTTGGAATTACGTGGCCGTTTTTCAATTAAATGTAAACTTTTTTTTAATAATTTAGTGCGTATTTTTTAGTAAATAATCAACCTTTTTTTTTTTAAAAAACTGAACCACTTGAACAAAAATTATTTCACAAATGAATCCCTACGGAATTCCAAAGATATATGTATGTTCAATGAAATTGTAATAAATTACAATCCTTTCCCCATTTACTTACAGTAAATTTTAAAAAATGAGACTAGAGGTTGAAACTAGAGTGGCTTTACTCTTTAAAAATACACATTACCATGTTTTTACTAGCATCCGCCAATCAGAATTTACAGGAACTGACTGCATGAATCTTTATATAAAAGGCCTAACTTTATCAATAGGAAAATAGTATCTTATTCGCTACACCATTGGAACTAATTGATTACATATACTACTTTTTAATCTAACGTGTACTTACGTGGCGGCACTTTCGAAATGAAGCATATTTCATACGTCTCATATACTTCAGACATAAAAGTAAATTTGCCTTTGGTGATATGTTCTCCTTTCGAAAGTATGTGACCTTTAGTATCCCGAGCCTTAGAGATTAAATTTGTCATTATATGGACTTTATTAATTGACAAAAAAAAAACTTACGACATAATCAATTATTTGGCCGGGTATGTTAGAAACTTCATATTCTCCTTTTACCAATTGATTTGGTTGCATGTCTTCTTTTAAGCATCTTTGCAAATTGGGTTTCAAATGAAACATTACTCCATTAACATAACAAAATAGCGAAAACACACACAATAATTTAATCATTGTTTAAACTATATTGCACATATTATTTCCAGAAACAATTTTAAAGATAGATGAGCTGGCCCTTATTTATTTTACTAATATATCGATAACTCAAAACACGATAAGCTGTATAATGCTGCAACTACCCTTCTCATATATCTGCCAATGGGTTTGTACACTTTTGAACAAATTTATATTTTTGGTAATAAATAATTAATTACGAATTTAGCTTTCATTTCTTATGAAAAGACTTAGCATTTTCTTAGTTTATTTAAATTAGTTTAAAAAAGTCAATACTGGCATCCGAAATGAGCCGAAACTGCAACGGCATACGCAAGCGGTGCCTCAGAAACCAGCGGCGATTTTATATTTTTCTGTAAAACCGACTCTGCTTATTTTTCGTTGCTATACAAGGTTACACTATAGGCTTTTTTAAAGTGCGTAGTTTTTTTCAAAAGAAATGAAAACTCAATTCGGAACTAATTATATGCTACCATATAGATCATGTTTATTTGATGTGCGTTTATATTCGATCACATAAATTACGAAATTTGTTGGCGAAAATTATAAATTTGTTCAAAAGTGTGCAAGCACACAAGCCGCTGGCAACATTTCGCCGCTGTCAGCAGCGTCGCTAGCACGTGTATGTATCCCGCAATCGAAGTCGGCTGTTATGGACGGATGACAAGTAAAATGGGTAATTGCAACATGTGTATTTGCATGACGCTGACATGAACTACGTTGCCATGGACGGATGGCAATTGAAATTTGAGTTTATACTAAAATATTTATGAACATGTACAGGTAACATATGTGTTGGTGCGAATATGTATCTAATTATTAATTTTTCCGATAATAGAGTTTGCGGGTAAAGTTAATTAATGCAAGAAATATTAGAACGGATTAAAAATGCCGTTGGTAGTGATTATGAGGATAGTGAAATAGATGAAATATGTAATTGGATTATACTTTGAAAAGGAGAGAGTTGATGTTTAATCAAATGTAATAATATAGACCAGAAGTGGATAAATAAATAAATAAAGCTGCGTCATATTTTTCCCAAAACATAGTGTTTTTATTTCAGAATTATTAAAAAGAGCAGAGCGAACGAAAATGAAAAAACAAATGTCAAAAAAATGCTTGAAGAAAGTGTCCCTGCGTGAACTTGAATTGCGATACAAAGAAGAAAATTACGATAATAAGTGGCAAAACTATTCTCATGTGAACTCAGTATAACATAGCCAGAGAACTTAGAATAACGAGAAGGTTCGATTGCGAACCAGCATGGAAACTGTAAATAACGAAGTTCAGTCATGATAGCGTAGTTCGCCACCGACACAGAAATTAACAGAATTCGTCTATGGTGTTTGACATTTTGAGCGTAGCAATAAAAATTATGCTCAGAAATGTAGTTCTCAGTTTTCAAATAACATTCATGATGTTAACTTCAGGGAACGAACTTTAAAGGCAAATATTTAAAAAAAATTTTTAATTGAAGAAAAGAGATCAACGAACCAAATTTTACTAATATATTTTCAATGTTTTTCGAATTTCTGATTATTTAATATCAAATATTGAATGTTTACAATCAAGAAGTGTTGATTTGCCGGGTAAAATTTTTGTTTAGAGCCACAGGCTTTCGCAAATAAATTTTATATGGATGGAAAGAGGAAAAATCATAGATTCTAAAACTAATTTTCTTTTCTTTAGCTGACTTATAGTTTTTTAATAATTCTATTTTAAATTTCGAGTAATAAATGCAAAATTACGTCTNGTTAAGCAAAAATGAAAGAATAGTGACCGATTCATAAAGAAATAATGGAATAAAGTTAACACTTTATAACAACAAATAACTTATAAACTTTAATATATTCAAATTCCAAAAGTTAAAATATTGGAAAAATATATTTCTGTCATCATTCCTACGAAGTTTCATGTCGAAATTCCTGGTTGTTTGCTTACAATATCAAGTGGGGCTGCATATCAAAGCTCAGCCATTTGCCGTCGGCATTCGCTATTTATTTACAATAAAGACTATTTAATTAATTAGGATGAATAATTTTATTCACTTATAAGTCAAAAATACTTTAATTTATAAATACGTATATATGTTGAACTATACTAAACAAAATACTAACCATCCTGAAGAAATATATATACTTAAATACATACAAAAAGATAAATACACAAAATCATCATGGTCGCGGAAAGAAAAGCAATAAAAACATACATTAGCATGCCCTTCTTCCTTTAACCCGTAATATTACTGTATCGTTGTAAGCGTTGCTCCAAATTCTTGCCACGGACATAAAATCAATCATCGTCAGAAATGAAGCACATCGCCTTCGTCCCTGTTTAAGCGTACGCTCAACATGGCCCTTCCCTAACCAGAATTCCCATCCTTTTGTCGACACCCTAATGCATCTTTGGCTATAACGGCCATGTACTATTTACAATCACTATCATCAACTTTCACAATTTACTTCACTTAAATGTAATTTTCAACGCGTTTACTCCGCTATACTTTATGTTAACGCCAACGAGTTCACTTTGTAACTAACTTGACTTGGGAGCTGAGTGTCGCCCTTATATAGCAATCGGCTGCTCGCAGACGAAAGTGTAGAATCATCGAGTTGTTCGCTATCGAAGGTGCTCGTTTAGAATGTACTAGTTATCGACATTCGCCTCGTATTGTCGCAACACTGCCCTCCATCTAAATCTGATCGTCCCGATCAGCCACATTCACTGTTCCAAACTCAGCAAGCCTCCCAAGGCGGACAACTTTCATCTTGTTTCGTGGACTAACAATGGTTTGGATTCGATACACTACGTCGTTTAGTCGTTTGATTATCTTGTATAGACCTTCCCCATTACATTGAAGTTTTGGGGACAAACCCCTCTTCCGTTGTGGATTGTACAGCAACACCAAATCTCCATTTTGGAAACCTTCAGAGTTCAACGCCTTGTCATACCTGACCTTCATTTTGTCACCCATAATTTGAGTTCGCTGTCTCACCAGAACATGCACTTCTCTTAGATCTTCCTCGGGATCGCTAGACGTTACCTTCCTAATTCTTCTCGCATCACCAGTTATTCCAAATTTTAAATCGCTGGGCAACCGTAGTTCACTACCAAACAGTATCCTCGCAGGTGTTTGCCCTGTAGTTACATGCACGGCGGA